GATATACACTGAAAAAGAGAATACGGAATATACTTTTTGAAGTTCTTAAAAGCAGCAGTGTCATCCAGCTCGCCCCTCATATCCAAGGGATAAGGCTTTCCATCAACTAAAGTGAAAGGATTCATCTCTAGGAAGGTGAAGTCAACATCTGGCAAATAGAAATTGAGAAGTTAACGACAAAAACTCACAGCTAACAGAATCATCTAGTATACCATGCATCTGTTGAAGGTCTTTAATATACCTTGAAATAGAGTGAAAACCACTTTAATGAACTCCTCAATTTCTCCTCTGATCTGGATAGGCAAACATAATTTATGTCCATTATTTCAAATAAAATTGTATGATTGCATTGTATAAATGACACATTATATATTATTTTGATGATGAATAAGGTATCATAAGCAGCTTTTATTTATTTGTTATTTTCTGTTGGAGGGGAAAACCAGCAGTGGATAGAAAGATAAAGCAGTGTTGAAGTGAAACCTAATGCCAGAATATGGTGAACAAGCAATGTGTGACCAAGGAGCAGAAATAAACAGCCAAATCATTGATTTCAGAGAAATTACCTCCAATGGAAGGGTTGCCACAAGTGGAGCACATGATTCTGAGGCAAGAGGAATCCCCGTTGGGACATATATTGTCTTAACCTGGAAGGATAAGACCCTTACTAGGTTATGGTTCTGTAAGGCAAGCCAACATGAGAGAGTAAAAAGATTGATTAAATAACATTTAGAAGTACCTTATCCCAGTTCTCTTCAATTTCAATTCCTCCACATTCTGAAAAGCTTATGCTGCACCCAAGTCGCTCTGAGACAATATTAAGGTAAAACTCTTCATTGTGAGGGATGAAGGGTTCAATGATGAATGTTGTTATGGGTCCTTTACATCCTCCCATCTCCACCTGAAAACCAAGAATAACAAACGTGAGATGAACAATTAAATTATCAAACTCGACGAATGCCACGTATAACAAATAAGAAGTCATAGCTGAAAAGGAAAAAAACATTACAGTGAATGACTCAGGAAAAATAATACCTGTTTGCCCAAGCGCTCTTTCACAAAGGTTGCAACTTGAGAAATATCCAGATTTAAGGCAACCAAACCACTCTTCCCACGTTTGCCAAACAACATGTCGGGTTTCACAACTAGTTTACATGCTGATAGCCAGGGTTCTCTCTCTACTAACTCAGCGAAATCAGTTGACTCCGTTACCTATCACATAAACGCATCGTTTTCAAATTTTATTTATAACCTAAAGACATAATTCAAAGCATCAAGCCAAGATTTCAGTAATTCCTTCACTTATTCAATTAAATTACATAAACCCTAAACATTTGGAACACACAAGCAAGTTTCAATATCCTACTGAAGCTGTACCATCAGAAACCGGCTTCAATCTTCATACACAAATTCGTATAAGCCTATACACAGGGCTAAAATATTGAAACAAACTAACAACTACTTTAGACTAACAATCTAACTGCAAAAGCAACTAAGATCAGATTTCAAAAATCAAACCGGAACAGAACATAGAAAAGACTCGCAAATTCAACAGAATATGAAACAGGTTGATTTAAATAAAACAAATAAATTCAACAAATCAGAGGTCAAAAGCATAATCCATTAACTAAAGACGCATAGGAAGAAAAATAAAAACTAAAATGATGGAAGGAACACTCACTTGTGCAGACTTAATAGGCAATTCGCGACCAGAGAGCCTCTTAAAGTGCTCCTTCAACAATCTCTTGGAATCATACTCTCTGATCTTCTTGCGTGCCATTTCTCCTCGATCTGTTTCTCACCTAAACCACAAATTTGAACACTAATTTTCAGATCTACATTCCAGCTTTCGAATACGACAGATCTGAACTCTGCATTTCGAATTTAAAACTATACCTTGAAAAACAAACGATGGCTTGTGGTAGGTAGCTAGTTAGCAAACAGAAGCCAAATCTTGGTCTGAGTTTGGTTAATGGTGCGGTATTTATAGAGGGAATGGGTTGATTAAAAAATAGTTTGTAGTTTATACTGTTCCGCGGGAAAGTATTAGACGCAGACTGATGAACACGTGGGGCACCTAACATTTTTTTCTTTAGGAGATGATTGGATGTAACGCCCAGGTGGATCACCGTTGATTGCAAGATTCCCATTTTTGAATGCAGTTACCTTATTTTGACGAACAGATACAGAAAGAGGCATCATATGATATGGTTACTATATAATTTTCATGGTTTAATGAGATATAATTGAAAACTAATTATCACTTTTTTAATTGAAAAGTATGAGACCACGTGCAATTTTTTAAAAAATAAAATATTACGCATACAAAACGCATATATAATTTATTATTTATTATTAAAATTTTACAATGCTATGTGGCAGTCTCGTATATGTAAATTGACCTGAGATTTGGATGTGGTTGGTAGTTATGAGTTATGACTGATGACTCTATAAAAAAAACAAATAAATGTAGGTCCAAGATTCTGGTAAAAATCTTTTCATCTTAATAGTGGTGGTTATGAAAATACGATGTGATTCAAGAACGATAATAATTTATTTATTTAAGAGATTTTGAGTTTGAATCGTTCTTCAGAAGTTAATAGGAATAATTAGTAGAGCTTTTATTTGATAAGTAATTTTAGGATCCTGAAAGATTAGTTGATGTATACATAAGCTAACCTGAATATCCGACTATAAAAAAAAAAGAAAAAAAATTGCATATTAGATGAAAGCTTCTAGAACAATGTAAAATAGCTGAAATTGAAACAAAATGCGTCTTGTGATATACAGTAATGAATATTAGTTGGTCGGTTCCCAAGCGGACAGTTATGGATATTGACATCAATTAAATGATGCAACGAAAACGTGGCTTAAAATTTAAATGTGAAGTTTCAACTTCATTTGTTTTTCATGGGTTACTTTAATTGAAAAAGGCCCACTTTTATTATGGATTTTACATTGGTTGGTACCAGGTGGGTAGGCAGTAGAATCCATTTATTTATTTCTCTTTAAAACTTACACATAACATAAAAAGAAGATGGCAAATTCAAATTGTTGAAGGTAAGATGGTTTTTCTTTGGTTTTGTACCAAAAACGTAGGGATATTTTGAAGGAGGATCTTATCAAAGTTTTTAAGGGT